GAGAGAGACAGAGAGAGAGAGAGAGAGAGAGAGAGAGAGAGAGAGAGAGAGATAGAAAGTATAAGCTGCTGCTTTAATCAAACTTTCGAGCATGTTAAGCTGATTTGAGGTATTGATGAGCTGTAGAATATGAGCACTGGAAGAGACAGTGTCATATAAGAACAGATTAATGATTTTTCCAGGCAGTCACAATTTAAACAAGCTATCTTTACGCTTGTCTATGTTGAAGCCATCCCTTAAAGGAACAGTTCACCAAACAAATTAGAATTCTTTTAACATTTACTCATTCTAATAGCATTCCAAACATCTATGACTTTTTTCTGGAAACCAGTGAAGACACTGCTCAATTTCCTTTTTTATGTTGAACAGTCATACAGGGTTGGAACAAGAGGATAGGTAAATGATCACAGGATTTTCAATTTTGAGTGAACTATCCCTTTACCTTTTAGAACCCCTTCTGTTCACACAAGAACGCATTTTTACTTTAAAAAAAAAACACGAGACGCCACACAATAGTACCCAACTGCAGAGCTGCAGCGCTGATGAATGAAAGAAAGGCAAGGTCTTGAGATGTTTTTAAAAGTTGAACAACTTTTAACCTTACAGTGTCTCCAAAACAGAAAGCTTATGTGCAAGCAGCAAGACATACCGCAATTGTCAAAGACGTCCGTTTAGCAGCTATTTACATAGAAGAAGCTATTTACAAGTTACTGTGTGAACCAGCCCTTAGTCTTCAAGCAAACAGCAGTTAAGAGAATACGATGACAGACATCACACTGGGGAATGCCAGACAAGACAAAACACGAACAAACCAGACTAGGAGTGACCCTACTGGATCAGCACAGACTAGATTAGACCAGAACAGGGTAAATTACTCCTCTGATTGTACTTTGCTTTGCAGAACTTTTGGCAGTTTAGGTTCTTCTTATGTGCGTGTGTGCATCTCTTCTACCCTCTAATGCCGTGTCAACAGAGACAGCTGGGCCTAATAAGGAACAGAACAGGCCAGTAAAAATAATAATCAGCAGCACAAATGGTGAGGTCCTGCTGTGCAAGAGTTATTTTCCTCATTGCAGCAATGACACTCATAGTGCACATTAAGAAAAGCCACTGGCCGCCGGTAACTATCCCCACTGGGATTAAAAGAGTAGAGCCGCTCTTTGAACACTTTCAACACTAACATCTATAGCAGCTCTGAGAAGACACAACTGAAAGGGTACAGAGAGGGGAGGAATACAGAAACATGACAAGTCTGTAAAGCTTTGTCTCACCTGCTGGTAGGTTTGAAATCTGCTGCTGTTGTATTTGAGCGATGAACACCCCCCACCCTTCAAAATGACAAAAGATTGAAAAAAAAAGTAAATAAATGAATGGGAATATAAGACAAAAATGATAAAGACATGACAATAATCGTGTGACATAACAGTGAGACAGTACAAATGAGATTTGCATTTCCCAAAGGAAATACAGATACTTGTATGGCAGTAAAAATAAATAGTGTAAAAGTTTTAGGTACACTTAGGTTTTAGGCTTTGGTTCAGTGTAAATAAAATGCTGTATTAGAGCTGCTCTGTCACGGTCATGACATTGAACATCTTGTTTTCTGTTGGCTGCACACAGCTCATACATATTCACTGTGGATTTTAAAATTGGATATGCAAGACATATGCAAAAGGAAAGGGCAAATCAAAAATTTAGCATGTAGTAGAATGTAAAAGGAAAAAAAATACCAAATAAATTCAGTAATACATTGTGGTGATTTCACTGTTGTTGTTGCATTAAAGAGTATTTTAAAGTATGAGCTGTATCAATCTTCCTTTAATTAAAAAAAAAAGTATGAAATGTACAAATATGACAAATAGATGTCACATGAAAAAAGTGTTAAAAAAAAGAGAAAATTGTAGAACAAACCCAAAAAATGTTATACAGTATATGGCATGGAAAATAAAACAAACACACACACACACACACACACACACACACAAAAGAAAACAAAAACAACAGGGCAATAAAATTAAAAGGACTGTGGATTGAGTTGGTGTGGCATTTTAAAGACTTTTAATGCATTAAGCATGTGATGTAATGCAGATAAATGTCACCATTACAAACAGGGGTGGTTCTATTATTTCTGGTCTGGCCAGATATTCCTCCCCTCAGGCAGGGTTGTGGCCTGGACCCCATTGGAGCATATCAATTCATGGCCAGCACAAATGTTATATAATGTACCACAGGCAGACATTGAAGTTTCTTTTACTGAGATATTACTGACCCTAGGAGAAACTTAATAGGACCCAAAGAGCCCATAACTTAGGAACACAAAGGAGTGTGTGAGTCCAGGACAGCTCTCGGTGCTTTACAGAGCTGATTTCACACAAGAGGGAGATTTGTGATTGTGGTTTCTGACTAGAAAGCAGTCAGGCAGTGATATCCCTTATGTCTTCTGTGCAGTAAAACCTAACAGTTCATGGCCAGCAGCTTTTTGTATTTTTATTTCTTGGCCCGTTTCCAGTGGTCGGTTCTATTCTCTGTATGCCATTATGAGGTCTGGGATCCTAAAGGGCATCTAAGGAAAACATTCCATATCTTCTCCTGGTCACATATGCAGATATACACATCACAAGAAGCAGGAGCCTAATGGCTTGATGTCCTGCCAGATATATTTTCTAAACAATATAAAAAAGAAGCAGGAACAGAGACTTGGGAAAACAACGCTCATGGGAAACTATTAAATGCATCCTTAAAAACCTTCGTGAAAACCCTTTGGACATACTCTCTCTCTCTCTCTCACACACACACACACACACACACACACACACACACACACATTCAGAGTTCAAGGAAAATGCTAAATGCATTTCTGCACAGTAAACACATTTACACATCTTTTACACATACAGAGGGGAATCAATGCAATATTTTACAATTAAAAGGGAACTTCATCTCATTTGATTTTCTCTTTTTTATTCAGAATGCAGAATAAAATATATGATTATTCATTATTATTAAATTATAATAATGATTATTTATTATAAATTAAAAATCTAGCATTTGAGCTAAAAACAAAACACTCAAAACATTAAAACGAATGCAGTAAAAAGCTTTTGGTACTGACTCTGACTGGACGAGCTACAATCGAAACTGATTACTAGTTATAAAACTGATATACACTCATTAGTGTGTTGTTGCCCATCAAGTGTACTTCATACTGTCCAGCTCTACACACTATACACATTACCAATAAAACATCACAAAAATAGATATGCAAAAGGAGTTAGTTCTTTTTTGCTATAGCAAAGATGAGCTAGTAAGGGTTCTCTCACAGAACTACTCAACATTCACAGATCAGCATCTCTCATACCAGCGCAGAACTCAATATTCTGCTTAGGGCTATACAGACATAGATCAGAAAGAACATGCAAGAACATTCAGCCTGAAAAAGAAAAAATATATATTTTTGTATGGCAGCAGGCTTGATCCACGTGACTGGAGTTTCAGAGATGTGTTCTAGAGGATCACGTTCTCTGTGTAGCTCTTACCTGCTGAGAGCTGGTTTGGCTGATCTGAGCGAGTCACTGTGTGCAAGAGCTTCTGCCACAGAACTGTCACTGGAAACACGCTTCCTTTGGAGCTCTTCAACCCTGAAGAAACAACGAGAGAGACACACACACACACACACACACACACACACACACACACACACACAGAGAGAGACATTATCAAGAGGAATATTTGGTACTGAAACAGCAGGCCAGTCATTATATCTGCAGCCAACAAAAAAAACAAATGCTGTGATGTACCACAGTCCAGCTGCTAACAAATCATAATGTTGTGTGCACTTGTTCTTTAATGTTGGAAGTCTTTGTGATGTAAAAAAGTAACACGCAAAGACCCACAATTACAGTGTGGTTCATAAAAAACACCTCTAATAGATGAGGAATACCCTAAAACATATACAGTAGGAAAAAAATGGTTAGATGTATATTGTTTCTGTTTATAGTATATAATAATAGTGTGTGAGAGAAAGGGAAAGGAAGAGATGAAGGTGGAGACAGAGAGATAGAGAAAGATAGAGACACTATCCTTTGATCTCCACTAGTGCATGTATCACCCTGTAGCAGTCTGATCTCATTTGGTAAAAAAGCATAACCGGTGGAAAAACATTACGAAGACAAGATAGAGCGAAAGAGAGAGAGAAGCCAACATTTCTAGAGACTCAAAAAGACAATGCTTCCTGTCACTTTGTTCACCCACAGCTCACCCTGGCAAACTCAGCACTTAACACCACAAAGGCTAATTACATCTTTTTATTAATTTAAAATTCCTTTCATGAGCGATTCTGTGTGATTCTGAATTGAACAAAAGCATGTTCAATGTTGCCTCGGCGAGAGATCGTTATTTCATGCCCAAGGGAGTTAAGCGATGTAATAATGCTTGCCAAATGCTTCAGCAGCCGTACGCCTGTGTGACTGATTAAGTCTCTGCGACTAACAACAAATCAGGAGCAGAAAAGTTGCCAAAAATCCCATCCAAAACAAAAAGGTACCACCGATTAAATACATACATGAAAAGATGAAATGCACAAATGCAATGCGAAATAACCAAATTAAAGAAAGACAAAAATGGAAGGAAAAGAGGATGAGCATAGGAAAAAGCAGAGATGTCAATTACAAGAAGATGAGCCAAAGTTCTCTGAAACTCTGAAAGACTCTTGCTGTTTCGCAAACATGTCATTAGGACTGCAGAAACTATATTTAAGTATCGACAAGGAAGAAAATATCCTGCCTATTGCAACAAAAAGCAAAGCGAATGGCCATATAATGATATCTGAAATCTTTTATGCTGCTGTTTTTACAAGAAAAAGAACCCAGACATATATAGGCTACGCATTAAAAAAAATCATTACACAACCAGAAACCAAACAGAATGCTGACATTTTGTTGCTTTGTATGCTTGTGGTGTATCTAACACAACAGAGTTCAATAAACAACACACAATAATTGAAGTAAACAAGACTAATTCAAGAAAACCCAAGTGGCTTAGAGTGAACCCAAGAGAGAAAAGGTAGAATTTGAATCATTAAGGCTGACAAATGACACATTTACAGTGAAACTGTAGAGTGAAAGTACGACGTGAGAGAAAGACATTCTGAAGTTCAAATACAGAAAGATAAAGGATATATCAGTACATCTCAAGTACCCACAGTCCCTAAAGACAAAAGGCTGACTGTTATCTCACAATCACAGCACACATGACAGCAGCAGTGCTCTGAGGGACCGCTCAATGTTTTCCATTGGGAGCCATAAACAAAAGCTCCTATCGGATGGGTTATACAATCGTGACATAATCAGGAGAGCTATGCCCAGTGCAGCGGCTTGTCTGTGTTTCAACCAGACACATTACACTGCTACACACAGCTGGGAGGACAATGATAATGACACAAACATCACAGAGCTAACCATTCAATCATTACGATCAATTAGTTTCCTATTAGCCTCTTCCTAACCAACATGAGCTAACAGGGCTCCAGACTGCGACCGTTTTTACTGCCGGTGCGAGAAAATTTTGTGCACAGTCGCACTGGCGCGACCACCGCGTTGTTCAACTCACGCTGCCATTTCACATCATACATCAAACGACAAACGAAACAAAAGCGTAACAAAATCCTGCTACTTGTTTGAGCTGCGCAGTGTGGACCGTTCAACAGCTCGGACCGCGACGCAAACAAACTATAGAAGAATAATGGTACATTTAATAAGAGTACAATATATATCTTTTCTACATAAAAATTTGATTTTGCACACGTTACTGTTGTTAATAAAATACATTTTGTAAGCTTCCCAACTCAAGCTTAGTGCTTTACTGTCATATGTGTATAAACATGAAATAAACAAGAAATGAACATGTAATATTATTAGTAACTGCAATTAACGCAAAACAATAGTAATTTTATCATACATCATATCACATATACATTTGTCATATCTCTCTGAAACTAAAGGGATACTGCACATTGTAATCTCTATGAGTTAAGTCTATTTATTATCAAAGCATTGATCAGTAATACACTTAAAATGGTGAAAATATGTGAACGATTGCATTGCAGGCTGATTTAAGGTGTTCCCCTAAATTTTCTGCTTGTGCTCCTAAAACTTTTCAGTCAGGGGCTACAGTGCTCCTAGTAAAAATAGTTAGTCTGGAGCCCTGGCTAAATATATGAACGGTTGTTTCAATATATGTAATTTATTCCTATTATGTCCAAAGTGAATTTTCACAGTCACTATTCCAGTCTTCAGTGTCACATGATCCTTCAGAAATTAACCTAATATGCTGATTTAGTGCTCAAGAAACATTTCTGATTATTATCAATGTTGAAAACCTTTTCATATTTTCATGGAAACTGTGATTTAAAAAAACAATTAATTGTATTTATTTATTTTTGAATTTTAAAGAATAGAAAGTAAAAAAAAAAAATTTTTTTTAAATAAAAATCTTAATGACCTCACACTTTTGAACAGTAGAGTATGTGCTGTTTTGGATGCTGGACCCCATCATGGGATGCTAACATGCAGGTGTCCTCACCAGGCTAGCTTAACCAATAAGATTTCCATGGTCAATCAGCTTAACCAGAATGCTGGCTGACAACCTTTACCAGCACAAAATCAGCAATTGCTCTTTTCAGCTAAGCATTCATTTAAGGTTAAATAACATAATAATAGAAAATAAACAAATACACACTCCTGACAGACCTTTTACATTTAGAATAACAGAAAGGATGTGTGATGATGAAGCTTAAGCTAAATATTTTGACACAATTTCAACTGATTTCATTCAATAATTTAATAATTAAACCTGAAACATTCACAAAGACAGAAAAACAGAAAAAAGCTAATTTACTGTCTGTATTCACTTTCTCTGTCTTGAGCTCTATTACCCCTCCAAACACACACACACACACACACACAGGAGATTAGCAGGGGCTGTGATGCTGTATGACTTTTTCAGGCAGCTATAAATAGAGGATCGGATCAAGCTCTGTGCTGCAGGAAATGCTCTGTTTTATTCACTCTGAACCACACAATTATTCTGCTATACTACACACACAATATCACAATCACATTCTCATTTGCACATGCAAACATGCATAGACATTCATGTATGAACCTGCCTACACACAAGTGTACGTTTATATAAAATCCATCTTAAAAGTAACAACTATAAGGCACCCTAGGAGGATGTTAAACACGGTTATCAGTGTATTAGAATTAGTGTTGTTGATGTAGCATTTGTACAAAGCAGCTGAGCTGTGAGAACCACACTGCCACCAGGCGGCTCGATGCTCTTCTGCTCCCTGTTGGCTGATATTACAGAACAGAAGCTGCTGTCAGCTAACAGCCATCAGTTATTACCAGTTATTAGCTGCCACTGATAATGAAAATGTCTCCTTTATGAAAGTTTGCATAAAATAACTCATTCATCAAAACATTGTTATATTGTCAAGAAAGGCAAAGATTAGCTGGCAGTGTGGTGCTGGTTACATTTAAACGGTTCCCTTTATGTTTGCCCGTGTATCTCACCTGGGTCCGGGTGAGTTTGGTGGAGAAGAGGATGATGGAAAGGCAAATTTACGTGGATCAGAAGGGGCATCACTAGAGGAGTCCACCAGGTCTGGCATGCCTGGCGATGTGCTGACCGTCTCTGTGACAACCAGCTCTGGGTCCAAAACGAACAGCTCATCCTGAGAAATTTCACTCACGTAGTTAAGATGCTCCTGAGGGATGACACAGACACCAGACAAATGTGAATGGTTTGTTTGTGGATACTTAAAATTGCTCAATTGTAGTTTGAATTACTCTAAAGAGGTATTGTACAGAGGACCCACTTGAGCTCGATCAATCCTGTAGAATCGATCAGCTGTTGTAGCTGCAAACACAAAACATAAAAAACGAGAAATCAAGCTTGTGATTAGGCACCAGACATTCAAGAGCAAGTTCAAGCAGAACAGATGACAGAATATCTCTTCTTCTAATGTTCAGGTCTCCAATTACACAACAGTACTGTTTCAACATCTACACTCTATAAAACCCTGGGTTATTTTTTTCAACTCAAACACTTGATTGAGACTATTGGGTAAGGAAGCTGGCTTGATTTGACCCAATTTGGGTTAATAATTGCTCATAATCAGAAACCTAACAGTGCTCCAGATATGAAAGAGATCATGCATGTCATGCAAGTTCCAACATTCCTCGGAGTGCCAATGCCACATCTATCCATGCTTGCAGTAAAACATGTGGAAAAGAAAACTAATCCAAGCATAATAATCAACATTTATTCAACAATGTTAAATTAACATTTAAAAAGGAATATCATTTAACTGCATAAGATGTGTAACTGTTGAGTTGCCATTCTTTTCTGCACTTTTTCTCAATCTGTATACATTGTTTTCACTTTTGCCTACATTTTTGTTTATTTCTGTATTCTTGCAATAATATTTTACCTATTGATAATTACTATAGCCTGTGATGTTACTGTAGTCACACTCTCCCAACTCATTTTGGGAGTATAGTAATTTATTTTCAGCAGTATAGTAATTTTTAAGCAATAGCTAGGGTTAGGGTTGTTGGGTCAAATATTTATCCTAAACCAGCTGGGTCAAAACGACCCAGACATGTTTGTTTTTAAAGGAGACATATTATGCCCCTTTATACAATATGTAATAGAAGTCTCTGGTGTCCCCAGAATGTGTCTGTGAAGTTTCAGCTCAAAATACTTCACAGATCATTTATTATATCATTTTGAAAATGCCTATTTTGAGTGGAAACAGAAACACGCTGTTTTTCGGGCCTGTGTTTTTAAATGCAAATGAGTTGCTGCTGCCCGCCCCCTTTTCCAGAATAGAGCTGTGCCATTACAGCTCGGACCTGCTAAAAACATCTGTTTTGGTTCTGATTATCAATTTTATCGTGCTGAAATCATGCGTTTTAAATCATATGAGTTTAAACTTCAGATATACGGTTTTGTCACAGTTTGTGAGTACTAAACTAAGTTCTCATTCATACACAAGTTTACGTTAAAAACACACATGAGTTACAAAAAAACTGTCGGTTATGTCTGTTAAGGTAAACAGCTGGGAAATAAATCACATGTTTATTTTAGATCTGTGTGGCAGCAGCAATATACAGTAAATAAATCAATAAATCCACTGCTCTCTTGTCTCCTCTGAGGCTGGGACTGTAAATAGTGTTCTGTGCTCGTCTGTGCAGCCAAAGACAGAACAGTTAGCATGTTTTGCTCAAACTTTCACCATGGCATTAGAGCTCGTACACCGTTGTGTTTGCGAAATCAAAATGACGGCGCTGTGGTTGGAAACTTACAGATTAAGGGGCGGTAATATTATAAT